GATCGATATAAAATTTAGTACATCCGTACTATTTGGGATGGAGATGGATATAAGCTACTACTTATACCGCTTAATCGATATATCTCGATCACACAGAAAAAGTCGCGATAAAAGCTAGTTATAATAAATGGCACTCACTGGAAATATTACATAGTAGCATTTAGCTCCAAATTAAGAAAATCATGTAAGTCCTATTTATTTATTCTTTATTGACCACATTACAAAAAACAAATGTCTGGTACAAAAGGCGGACTTAATATTATATAGGATTCTCTCCCAGTCAACCTTTGGCATAACAAAAATGTAATTATGCGGTGAAAAAATTGAAAATTGTTGTAAATAAACAATTACACATTGCTACATTACATTTTATATAACTATGGTTACTACGTTGTAGACATACATAAATATTTTTCATACATTTTGTACATACATCCTTACTAATATTATTAATGTGAAAGTGAGTTTATTTTTTTTGTTTATTTGTTACCATATAGCGCCCTAACAGTTTAACCAATAATTAAAGTTTAGTATAAATGTACTATATGAAAGGGAGAAGGTTATAGACTACCTGATGCCTCGGTCAGTAAACATATCCCACGCGGGGGGAAGGGATTGTTAGTAATGGGGAGGTTAATCCCCATTGCTATCAGGCCGACCTCCACGCGGCTCCCCCTGGAAACTATTGTGACTATCATTAAATTCGTCACGATGGGCTAACTGACCTGCCCTTTCATCCTCACCTATCACCTCTCACTGGTGCCCCACTAGTGTATAGCGATAGCGCAGGCGGGGATACCATGCCATTTTCACCCATTCAAAAAAAAACATATCTAAGCTAGTAAAACATAAATCATAATATATTAGCAAAATTTAATTACGCCATCATCGTAATTCATTAAACTGATGGTATTTAATTCGTATGTTATGAATAAGCTTTTAATACCAAAAAAAACCATGAATATTTGGCCGAATATTTTAGGGAAGACATATAAACCCGGGTTGGTATGGGCCGTTTTATTATAAGGGTAGGTCGTAAATCTTGGATGTTTGTGGAGTGAAAAAGAACGCTATCAGATCACGAAAAGGCGTGGGCATAATCTCAACTAAAACCAGAGAAGCACAGTAAATAGTTTATCTAAAAACCACAGGGAGGAAATGAAAATATTTGTATAATTCTATCGTTATTATCTCGTATTTTAAAATTGTTATTTAATTTAATAAGAGATTATTAAAATGAATAAAGAGTCCTTTCAATAGTCAAAGGATTCTTTTTTATATATCTATCTATTTATATTACATATCTATTTATCTTCCAAAGGGTAAATTACCGAAATCGGAAATTAATTGAATTAAGGTTGTTCCAAAAAAAAAAAAACTCGATATCAGTTGTGACAAAACTAATTATTTTGATTTAAAAATTAAACCACTGAACCGATTTTGATAATTGTTCTATGGGACTGATCTGTATATTCTTTCAGATAAAAAAGAATTTTCTAAAACGGTTCACAACCTACGATCTTATGAGGTAACAAACATAAAAAAATACAATCGAATGGCAAAACCTTCTTAATTTTGAAGTCGGTTAAAAAGACACAAAACTGAAGTGCATTTTCAGTTCGACTACTCGTTATTTTGTCAAATTTTTGGGAAGTAAAAATAATTAACAGAAACTACAATATGGCTTCAAAATCATCAGTATCTGTGAACGATACAAGAAATCAGGAATATTGAAAATATATATTAGTAAAGCAACTTTGGAAACTAGGATCGTAAAAACAGTGCAGACGAAAGGGGACAATAGAAGGTAGTGCCAATTTTGAATTTAACACACATAATAACATAAAAACTATGAACAATAAAACTGGCTACATAATAATGTGTCCAATGTAAAGTGTGTACAATAAAGATTTTACAATACAATACAATGTAAGCTCTGTATTAATGCTTTTGTGTATTTTAACTCTTTCATTAGTATAACTTAACAGTTGGACGCATCATGTTAAAATGGGTGACAACATTTTTTTTAATTTATCGAGATTTTTTATACCAGGAAGACTTTGTACAAAAGTCGATTGCTTGGGTCCCATTCGTGTTTCAACCGTGAAGCAGTTGTGTTTGCATAGCTGTGTTTCGGTTTGAAGGGTGGGATATGGCGTGAATTTACTGGATACAGAGGAATAACACCTCAGTCCTCAGGAATGGCAACGCATGGGGGGTATTATGGGCGAAACAGTATCCTCTGTTATATCCATGGTACTGTTCATGTCTATAGGCGACGGTTACCACTTTCCATCAGGTGGGCCGTCAGCTTGTTTGCCATTCTAAGTTGTATAAAAAAAAATAGTAGCAAACGGGCATGCGGCTCACCTGATAGTAAGTGACCATTGCCGCGCATGATCATCCGCAACACCAGAGGCATTGCAGTTGTGCTGACGGCCTTTTAAAAAGGAATATGCTCTTTTCTTGACGGTTATGACGTCGTATCGGTTCGGAAATACTGCTATTTGAAGTTGATTCCACAGAGTGGTTTCCTATCATGTTTCTCTATGTTAGTTCACTTGCAGAATACTTTTAAAAGGACGCCAACGGATTTTAGCCTGTATATGTCAGGACATAGAATACATATTGGCGTACTCAAAATAAAAAAATAATTGTGGCAGTACGTTAATATGGCAAACCTCTTCAACTTTACTTCGTTGTCTGATCATATACAGACATTAGTTCTCTGTTCTTCACAGAATACCTTGCTTGTAGTAGTGTTCTTGTCGCAGATGTTTTGTGGTTCTGCTGTGTGCGAGTATGAGCAAGTATTGCTTTTTATTTCAATGTGTGTGACCACATAAAGACGTGGTGCTCTGTTTGTGTTTGTAAGGATAAATATCTTCAGTAGCAATCTAACCAAAGGCGTTATTATATTCCTTGGTCCTCGAAACCTTGAAAATATTCATATATATTTAGTTCTTTGGATTTTTTGGGTATGCCATGTTCTTGAAGACAATCTATACTTACATAAAGTAAAAAGACATCTGTGAAAATTTAAAAAAATTTTAGCTGTAATCCAAAAAATTTACACTTTGTTTCATCCACGTGTTGATTTTCTTACTTACTTACTTATATTATTAGGTGTGGTTTAAATGTCACTATAGCATTTCTCTTAGTTACGATGTTATCAGTATCTTGACTGACGCGAGGGAATGCTAGTGACAGTTTCTATTATTGTCCTCTATCAGTCTATCGTAATAGAACACTAAATATAGAACTAGATACTTGTATCTATTAGCTGTTTTGTTACAGCAAGAATACAATGTGTCACGTTTTCGGATGAATGTCAGGGTATCGTAATAGACGACTATTTAGGGGGGAGGGGGGGGGGGGAAGGGATTGTTAGTAATGCAAACTACCAGTCTCATTGCTAAAAATATACTCTATCATGTGAAACTTCCCACGATCCTCCTGCTATACCATAAATAGCGATATATTATTTTGATAATGCAGCTTTTTATAGGTGAAAGAATACAATTTGAAAAAGGATAGAATTTGAAAAAGGACAAATGTTTAATTGAATGAAATTCAATCAAATCTTTCTCCTTATAATATTAGAACAGATATATAAATTTATTTTAATTTCTGTCTTGCATTACTACTGCCCACTCACTACTTCCTATGCCACTGCGTTAGGTTGACTGAAAGAAATCTCTTTCAGAGATAAGTTCGCCTTTGCTAACATTGTTATTAACTTATTGTTGTTACTGTATGTTTTAGTGTTTATATATATATATATATATATATATATATATATATATATATATATATATATATATATATATATATATATATATATATATATATATATATATATATATATATATATATATATATATATATATATATGTCCTTGGAATAACAATTACATTGGAATCGAATTCACTGTATGCTCATTTTAGATGTAAATGGAATCGATGAGAATGGAGTCAAAATAGTTGGTCTACAGGGGGGAATTTACTAGATTATTTAGGTAACTACAATGGTTTCCAGGGGCAATTGCGTGGTGATCGATCTGTCACGATTGTATAAGTACTATGCAATCGTGTTTTCACGTCACAGTGTGACGAGTTTGGTTATCAGGTCTAATCATCGGTTGAAGTTGAGATGTTAATGAATAAAACCGACATAAATGATTACAATACTTATTAGTACTTTTTTAATTTTAAGTATTACCTTCTTCAGTATATCAGTCCTATTGTACCCTTTTTTTTTAAACTAGGGTGAAAATCTTCCAAAGAGACCCATCCGCCGGCGGGACGACGAATGGGTACTGTGGGATTTTTACCCACTAAAAACACCCCGGTATTCTTCACGGCGCCTACACGCCGGTGACTGAGGCTCGCGACTAGCAATCTTCCCAGTCACTGGCAGCGCCGCCCCCCCGTCCTATTGTACCCTGAATTAATTTCTCAGATAAAGTTTTATCTACTTCAACTTTGTCTATATTATAGAATCTAGGGCTAGTATTTGCTGCGATTTTTATTGGGTTTATTTATTTATCTGCTTATCAAACAATTCAGGGTAATTGCGGGATTGTAAACGAAAAGTCGCAGTACAAGCGTCAAATTGTTTTGTTTTTGTTAACAAAGATTGATTGTAAGACAGTCGTCTGATTCCCGAATGAATTGTTCAAACGTGTCGGATTACTTTTGATTTGTCTTGATATTGGGAGAACATTGGTTTTCATTAACTATAATACATTGAATAAACTTTACTATAATGTTGAGAGAATGAGATTGTACAGTAGTTAATTTACATATTTGCCACCAAATAAGCTATTTATAAATTTACCGTCTCTTCTAATCTACAGAAACTTTTACTCTTTTTTTTTATAATTACAAGTTCTTGTCAATGAAATAATAACTTTATGATGTCCATCAGTAAAAAAACTCGTTTTTGTCTATGTTAATTCTGAAATTCCAAAAAGAATGTTAAAGAAATAAAACGATTAATTTATTAAAATTATTTCTTTATTATTAATTTATGAATTATTATCATACTTACTTAATTGAATGTCATAAATAATTATAAAGTAAATAATACAGATCCAAAAGAGAAATTTTTTTGGAAGATTACAAAATAGTATATCGAAAATTGGAAGAGGTAAATTTTATTACATATCTCTCTTTTCATTTAAGAGTTTCTTCTTATCATTACAACTAATTTTTCGCGCATTAAATTTAAACGCGCATTTAAACGCATTTTCCTCCAGCCAGCTCTATCCCAGGCCACATCTTTGACCTCTCTATACGACATGACACCTAGTGTTTCCTTTATCTGCCCCTTGTAGTTATTATTCGGTTTTCCCCTTCTTCTTTTGCTCTCTATTTTTCCTTCTACTATGCTTTTTAAAAAATCAATATGTCGTATAAGGTGGCCCAGCATTTTGCTTCTTCTATTTTCTATTGTTTTTATTATTGTTCTTTTCTCATTCACTCTTTTCAAGACTTCCTCGTTTGTTACTTTTTCTGTCCAGCTTATCCTTTCCATTCTCCTCAATGTCCACATTTCAAATACCTCAAGCATCTTTCTTTCCTTTCGTGTCATTGTCTAGGTTTCACACCCATATAATGCTATGTTCCAAATGTAAGTTTTTATGAATTTATTACGGAATTTTTTTAAATATTTTTTTTTGTAAATATGTTTTTTGTTATCATAGGCCTACACCTATATGTACGTAATTAATTCATTAAGAGATACACATATCTAGCCCGTCGACAAATACAGGTAAAGTTAAAAATATCACAGCGTTCAAGCAGCGTTTTGCAACACAAAGTAATATGGCGGCTGCAGTCTATTGACACCGGTTGTGACCATATTTGGCGGTGGACCGTGCCATTCCAGTCTGTATCTATCGAGAACTCTAATCACTAACGAGTCCAACATTTTTCCCACTATCCCTCCCGCTGGGCAGGATTCTCCAAAAGGTAAGGAAGCTAAGGGGTGAGCTTTCGAAGCTCTCAATGGTTCCCATCCTTCACTACACCAGCGCTCAGGAATGAAGGCCTTCGCTCTGCCCCATTGTTGATCAGATTTGCTGGTCACGCCATGTGCTAAAACTATATCCACCTGGAAGACAAAGTGTAAATGTAATTTAATTTTAATTTAATGCTTTATCCAAATAAATTCTTACTAATATTGTAAATGTGAAAGTGAGTTTACTTGCTATTTCTTGGCGCATTAACGACTAAAACAATGAATATAGATTATTTTTTATTCCGGTAAAATCAATACGTCACGCTGACAAATTATGATTTCAGCCCTTACTGTCCACTGCTGAACATAGATCTCCTCCTATTGTGGTTTTTTTAGTATTGCCAAACTTTGCAGACGGGTTGACAACCACAGTCAGATTTTGGTGATGTTTCGAGAGGGACGCTGCTGTCCATCCTTCAACCATAAAGTTCCCTTAGTCACTTTTCATGACACGCGGACGAAAACGCGAGCAGTAGCAGCACCGAAATTAAAAACATGACCGTTTTTATTCCTTTATAAAAACTCCTTTTCTTCTTTATTAAGATATTATTGCGAAATATATTTCCTTAATAGTCTAGGGATGGGTAACTCTTAAAACATCACTAAAGCCTATGTGGTTGTCAAGCCGCCTGCCAAGCGTGATAGCTACTGACAGAACCCCCCTTATGGAGGAAACCTTTGTTCAGCAGTGGACAGTTGACAGTGGATATGATGCTGATGATATCTTTAGCTATTTATGACGGCGTTAATGTGTTATTATTGTTATTTAACATATACTTTGTTCGTACAAATTTCCTTTGCGTCACTCGTGGGCGTGTGTGTTTTTTAAATTTAATTCCGTGCTACTGATTTTTAAATTTTGTGACCGCCATTATTCATTTTTATGGGGCCATCCTATACGGAGTATACATATAAATGAGAAGGGGATGAACATAGGAAGGAATGATCATTTATAAATACCTCTGCCTTATTTATAAAAACCTGATAATTCGTTTACTCGTTATGAGTAAGCAGGTAAAGAAATTATTAAGTGCATTATAAATATATTTCCTCCTATTTTGGGCAATGGTGTCAAAATAAATTACTGCAGATATTTCCTATTTGAAATGTAAATAACAATATATACATATACTAGCTTTAACCCGTGACTTCATATGCGTGACCAGGATATGTTTGACTTGTTTGACCGGGATAAAAAGTAGCCTAAATCCTTTTATATCCTATATAGTAAGGTGTATACGAAATTTCATAGTGAATTTGTTAAGCTGTCAAGACGCTAAAGATAACAGACAATCAAACTCACTTTCATATTTATAATACTAGTAAGTATTTACTATAAATTAATTTATTTTTCAAATTTCAAATCACTTTTACAAAGAAACATGAGCTTATAAATAAGCCTCCCAAATTTGGTCTCAAAATTTATTTGCTGTATATTTATTTGAAAAATATATTTATTTTCAGTGGTAGACCACTCTTTACAAGTATATTAATATCTATGTTTATGCCAAATCTCTTACGAGAGACCTTACTTATCCAGAGAAAATCGCTATTTCAAAAGAAATGTAATGATTCCTACTGAACTCTTCATAAATATTAAATACCACAAAATAACTTACCCCAGCAGGTATTTCATATCCAGCGACAGACAATCTCTCGTTACTTCTTCGCACTACTCCACCAGTAGCTGGATGAAGTCTTAGGGCTTCTCGAGTGCAGGCAGCAACGTACGGCATCTCAGGGGACCCGGCTCCAGCGTCCCTGGATGCTACAGACCAGGCAACTTCATCGTGGGCTCGCTGTTGCTGTGCAGCGTGGAGGGACAGTTGGTAGAACATGCTGATAGCTGTTTGAACAAGCTGCAAGTAAAAGGATTACCTATATAATACTCATACATACTCTGTGTGCTGATGAAGTAAGAATATGTCGGGTTACGTCTCTTTTTTATTTCCAAGATGTCGTAAAAGATTTTTTTTTAAAAACACTAGTGTATGAGAAGGTAAAATTGAAATGAGAAAATATATCGAACAGTCTTGTCAGCCAGTATTTAATAGTAGGTTAATAATATCTTTCTTAGAAAGAGATAGACTCGTGCTCAGTAATAATATGGTATCGTATATTTAAATAACATCTTAAAAGTATGTGTCATTTACGATGTTTCAGTTTCTATGATTTTCGTTTCTATGGCCCGTTTACTAGTGGAAAACTATTGCAATTGACTTTAATATACCAACTGATGTTTTACATATCAGCATATTATAATATATGTATATTTTGCTTTGGAGATTAGCCAAATTATAAGGGTTCAGTCCTCGGCGTAGAAACATATCTGTTCCTAAAATAGAACACAGAATTGTTTAACGTATACCCCCGTGACAAATTCCTCGCCAACATTGTTTTATCTGCCATAAGTAAAACACTTAGGCTGTAGGATTTATTGTGTATGCTTGCTGGCACGCAACTCGATGATGCAATTATTAAAATGTTGGAACTGTCACTAATAGACGAGGACTTTTTATTGTTAAGAAGTTAAAAGAGCTGATCTATCTGGATGGGAAGTAGATAAAATTGTTAATCAACAATTGCAATACGAGGCTGTTCTTACTTTATTGTTGACTAAGAAACTGTAGGTACACAAATTTTTTGAAGACCCTCTTCTCCATACGGCCCTCCCCCAGACAGTACAGTTTGTATCAAGACCCAGGTCGATACGTTGCACTATTTTGTACTATTTGAAAACTTTCTACTTGTTCTTGAAATTTTAATATACTGTATCTTGTATTGTGATACAACTTAATCAATTGAAATAAACTTTTTGGAAACTTACGGGGCCGACCCCAGCCAGTAGTACATCAGACGCTAATGGTAGTATCCGCATATCTAATGGACGAAGTTTGTTCAGCAGAACTTGTTCCGGCCTCAAGTCTCCGGAATTTAAGTTCTTTAGAGCTCGTGTGAGGAAATGTTCTGTAAGGCTGCAAAAGCAATGAATAATAATAGGATTAGGAGAGTTAGTTTCTTGTTTTTGGTTTTAAAATCAGTCTCATACAACTATTTTACATTTTTACTCATTCCGAGCCTTTTAATTGATATTCCTACAGGGTTGATTAAGTGATTCACTTTTTGATTACCTTGAATTGATTTGAATGAAAAATATAGACCGCTGGTAGATACTGGTACTACATATTTAAGTTTTTTTTTTACGGATTGGGATGGTAATATAGTTGACAGTGAATTAGATGGAAAGTGGTAACTATTCAGTGGAGAAGACAGAGGCACTAATAATTTGTGACAGCAGTAGTTGTCTTACCTACGTTTTACCTGCCAAATTTTAATTTAATTAAAAAAATACAATGTGTATATGGTGTCACATTAGATTTTTCGGATTAATTTGTAACTTACCTAATTTGTCTATCAAAAGCTTTTAAGGCATCGTTGAAAACTTGTGAATCAGTCTTAAGTGTCTTCTCGCTACGTACTAGGTAACTGCCATCTGCGATTTCTCTAGCAGTTCTGACCAGACGTTCGGCTGGATTAAGTCCTTCGAGGTTACGTTTTGATAGAGAACAAACACTCGGAGTGTCGTCATCCATCGATGTTTTTTCTGGGGACCTAAATAGTAAAATGTTTTTATCGCGTCACAAATCTTCACATCAAGGTTACCAAGCCAATTTGAACCTTATAACAAATAGGCTTACATACTCAGTAATCTCACTTCATTACGAGCCCTTGTACGTAACACGAATGGGAGTGCATTGGAGTGTAATTTGGTAATTCGATAAGGTTATCGAAAATAACACGGATATATCATTAGGCACTATTCTTAATTCTATAATAATATTCTATTTACATGCACTGACACATAAGAAAAAAAAATTCTGAATTAGGCGTTATTTTTCGGAAGTCTCATGCAAAAGTAATTGTGAAAATTGGATCAGAATTGTCGACGTAATCATGTAAAATAATCGAAAAAAAATTCAAATGAATTGAGAACGTTTTCTTCTTCTTTTTTTTGGAAATTACCAGCCAGTAAATATTTTATTGATGTTACCATATTTTGCTTACAATTGTTTAATTTCACTACGTTTAGTATGCGTGTGACTATCAAAACAATCAAGGTGAAACACGTATCGCAACATGAGTGTAGATGACTAATATTGGAAGCGTCCATAGATTTTTATTATCATGTGTTTTAAGGTCTTTCATTTGATCTATTGCTAAGGAAAAATATGTAATCCGCCAATCGGCGGCCATCTTAGATTTATAATGTTATTGATTTTATTATATTATATTGTATCTAAATTAAAGACAGATCAATCATGCATGCTAATAGTTTCTAATTTTGAAAAAAAAAATTCAAATCGACTAATCAATATAAAACTAATTTAAACTATACTTTGTTTTTTAAATTAATAAGTTATAGACATATATATATTTTGCCATGGGTGTGTGTAAGAGAGCTTGTGTCTGAGTGTCTAGTGTTTAGACTAAGTGGTAAACTTAAGGTCTGAGTGTCGAGTGAGAGATGGACAGTATCTGAGTGTCGAGTGTCGAGTGTCGAGTGTCGAGTGTCTAGTGTCTGAGTGTCGAGTGTCTGAGTGTCTAGTGTCTAGTGTCTAGTGTTTAGTGTCTGAGTGTCGAGTGTCGAGTGTCGAGTGTCGAGTGTCGAGTGTCTAGTGACGAGTGTCTAGTGTCGAGTATCAGAGTGTCTAGTATCTGGGTGTCTGAGTGTCAAGCACTGAGACAGTGTTAAAAGTCTTGATATGATAATGATATGTTTATATAGAAGTGTCTAGTGTTTGTATTGATGTCAGTGTCAGTGTTGAGTGACAAGTTTGACGACGTTTAGTGTCTGAAAAAATCGAGTGTCAGTGTCAGTGTGAAAAATAGTGTCGAGTGTCTTTAGTGTCAGTGTCTAGTGTCTGAGTGTCGAGTTGTTGAGTGTTTAGTGTCTGGTGTTTAGTGTCTGAGTGTCGAGTGTCGATGTCTAGTGTCTGAGTGTCTAGTGTAGTGTCTAGTGTCATCCTCATTTATCGTCTTTGTCTGTGTGTCTAGGGTCTGGGTGTCTGAGTGTTTATATCTGAGAACGCTGAGTGTCTAGGATAGCATTTCATTGAAATTCTATTATTTGATACCCATAAAAAAAATGTACCTAGTCCGCCATATTCAGAACGGCGTCCATCTTGAATTTTAAATTTTGACATAATCATCGTGTTTTACTAGTGTAGCCCTTTCATTTGATACCCATTTTGCAAAGCAAAATATGTAATCCGCCATTTTGTATCGGCGGCCATCTTAGATTTATAATGTTATTGATTTTATTATATTGTATTGTCATTTAAATTAAATTGATTAATATTGACAACTTACTTAATTTTTATTTTGACCCAAAAAAATAAATACCGTACAGGTCTAAATAAAACCGTTTAAATATGACCGCTGGTAGAAAATTATGAACTATATATTTAATTTTTTTTAATATAATGGTAAAAATGAGTAATATTTGTCAATATTTGTCAAAATAAATAATTTATTTAATTAAAAAAATACAATGTATATATTAGACGGTGTCATATTAGATTTTTCGGATTAATTTTTAACTTACCTAATTTGTCTATCAAAAGCTTTTAAGGCATCGTTGAAAACTTGGAATCAGTCTTATGTGTTTCTCGCTACGTCTAGGTAACTGCCATCCGATTTCTCTGAGTTCTGACCAAACATCTGGATTAAGTCCTTCGATACGTTTTGATAGAGAACAAACACTGTATGTCGTCATCCATCGACTCTTCGGGACCTAAATAGAAAAATGTTTTTATCGCGTCACAAATCTTCACATCAAGGTTACCAAGCCAATTTGAACCTTATAACAAATATATTTTACATATCAGTAATCTCACTTCATTACGAGCCCTTGTACGTAACACGAATGGAATGCATTGGAGTGTAATTTGGTAATTGATAAGGTTATCGAAAATAACACGGATATATCATTAGGCACTATTCTTAATTCGATAATAATATTCTATTTACATGCACTGGCACATAAGAAAAAAAAATTCTGAATTAGGCGTTATTTTTCGGAAGTCTCATGCAAAAGTAATTGTGAAAATTGGATCAGAATTGTCGACGTAATCATGTAAAATAATCGAAAAAAAATTCAAATGAATTGAGAACATTTTCTTCTTCTTTTTTTTTGGAAATTACCAGCCAGTAAATATTTTATTAATGTTACCATATTTTGCTTACAATACTACGTTTAGTATGCGTGTGACTATCAAAACAATCAAGGTGAAACACGTATCGCAACATGAGTGTAGATGACTAATAGGAAGGTCATAGATTTTTATTATATGGGGAAGGTCATAGAGTCTCTACTACTAGTAGCCAATCCCCGGTGTCAAATGTATCAAAGACAGTCTCATGCATGCTAATAGTAGCGGAAATAAAAAAAAAATTCAAATCGACTAATCAATATAAAACAGGAAACTATACTTTGTTTTTTAAATTAATAAGTTATAGACATATATATATTTTGCCATGGGTGTTGTAAGAGAGCGACTAAGGGACGAGACTAAGGTAAACTTAAGGGTCGAGAGATGGACAGCAACGCCTCTCTTGAAACATTACTAAAACCTAACTGCGGTTGCCAATTGCCTGCCAAGCGTAAAGAATAAATAAATAAAGTTAAAAGCTGATAATAATGATATGTTTTAACAAACTTTTGTTATGTCACAATTGAGACAAGTCTGACGACCTCATTTTAAAAAAATCTCATACAGGGTGAAAAATACCCGGTTTCCTTAGAAATCATCGTGGTTAATTCTTGTTGATATCGTCACGATGCGCTAACTGATCTACTTTCATCCTTTCACTGGTGCCCCGCCAATTTATGCTGAGAGCGCAGGCGGGGTTAGCATTCCATTGTCATTCATTGGAAAAAAACAAAAAGAACACATAGTATATCCAAACTCAAGCCAATTCAGAAAAGTTTGTTTCTTAAATTGGGCTAACTGAGAATCAAACCAGAGACCTCATTTCGCAAAGCAAGGTTCTGCGTCATGAATTATATAAGTTGTTAAATCTAGATTTATTTAAATAACTTTATTGACCAAAATAAAATGTGGTACAAAAGGAGGACTTAATTCTAGTAGCATTCTCTACCAGTTTACCTTTGGGATGAACAGAAAATCATGAACGCGGTATTTCATAATTGGAACAGGTAAAGAAAATAACAACTAATAATGTATGTAAATACAAAATAAATAATACATACATAAATATAAAGCAATATTATTTACCTATTTTCAGCAGTGGGCACATGTACTTCTCCATCCAAACAGCCCAGCCTGATGCCAAACATCATCATGCCGATAGTCTCGAGCGCCCACCTGTATACTTCTGTCTCCAACTCTTCGTTTAGTGCGTTTCCTGCGTGACGTAGTGCACCCAACCTTTAAAATATCATATTTTATTAATATAATAAAAATTTTATTACACAGGTATCTGTACATGGAATATTTAAGAAAAAATTGATGTATGTACTTTTACTAAGACGTAAAAATACAACGAAAAAGTCGAATAGGGGATAAAACATTCCTATCAATTTTGAAAATAACTTACTAAATGTTTATTTTAAAAATGATCTGATAGCGAAATAAAACACTAATAATATGCTATAATTTACAAGAAATCTTATTAATATAATAAAATTGTACGTAGACAATGTCTATATAGAAGAGATATTTAAGAAAAAAAAATATGTGAAGGATTTTAATAAAAATAATAGAAATAATCTGCCCTTCATACGCTTTCTGTTTTTATTTAATGGTTAGTTGGTAGAGAATGCCATACTTATGGTATTAAGCTCGCCACTTTTATAAAGTTTTATTGTGCAATAAAGAATAAATAAACAAATAATAATATTTTTAACAAATTATAAGTGTTCTACACTGCGTTTTCCCGAAGGGGTCACTACTCAAGAACCTTTATTTCTCATTGGTTGTCGGTTCTTCGAGCTATCTGACCAGCCCATTGCCACTTATACATGTTTATCCTTCGGGCTAAACGGATTCTGTCACATAAAGAAACCTTCGATTAGGTGATAGAGACAAAAATAATCACGAGCACTATACCAATGGATTTAATTTCTATTGAAAATAGAATATATTGTGACATGTAATAAGTCCGAGGAACGACAACTCGGGATCGCTCCTTCGCATCCACGGAAGCGAAGAAGACAATTTGATTGACGTAGTAATAACGTTCGTTCTAACTTTTGAAATGTTTGAAAAATCTTCTGACTCCTGTCACTAAGGATCTTGAAATAAAGGAGATTGAAAAGTCATTTGACAGTATTTAAACCTGTTTTTGTAAGGACGTTACAAATTCCTTGACAGGCATGGCTTCAGGTCTCGTTGAAAAGTTTTTAAGCAACTCAGAATGGCAAACATGCTGACTGCTCACCTGATGAAAGTGGTAATCGTTGCCTATAGACGTGAACAGTGCCGTGAACGTAACAGAGTACCTATACTGTGTCACACATATTGTCATGCGTTGCTATTCCTGAGAACTAAAGTGTAATGCCTGTGTACCCTGTAATTTCATTGCTTCAAACCGAAACACAGCCAGCAGCTTTTTGGCAAATACATGAATGGCACAGACGTACCTAAGCTTACTGCTTTTGTTCAAAGACTCCCACTGGTAATAAAGTCGAGTAATTTAATTGTAAATGTAAAATGTAAAAATTTCCCTTAATTATTAAAAGATTTTCAACATAGACTAGAAAAAAAAACTGGAGGTTATCAATTCAATTTTATATGTTTTTTTTTGTGACTGTATATACATACCGCCTTTTGTATCACTTCTCATTAATATTCACTGTAATTATTATTTTTTACTTGGTGCTATAAAGTGTGAAATAAATAAATAAACACATTTCTTATATATTTAATTGCTACGATTAAAGTTGTAGTTTTTTGTTCCAATCTTTATTATTTCGCCCGGCATGATTACCATCAAATACGCATGTGCATTCAAGTGTAAGAAATTTTAAAATATTAGGTAATGAAGTGTTATCTCGGAATTATGTCCGCTAATAAAGCAAGACGATAAGATTATCCGTGTACACATTAAACACATTCTCATGTGGACGCAATTGTTTATTACTGCCATTTGTATTGTTCGAACATAGATAGCTATGTAGATTTACGAGTATGAAGCGAAACATACCATTAGAACGACTGAATCACAGATGAAATAGACTGCAGTCTATTTTATATACCCTACCTACAGATATTGTGTGCAGTAGTAGAAATGATCAATGGTATTTTTTATGCAACTTAGAATGGTAAACAAATTGACGGCCCACCAGTTGGCGGGCACCAGTGAAGGGTGATAGATGAGAATGAAAGCAGGTCAGTTTGCCCATCATGATGAATTCATCAGGAATTAACCATGATAGTTTCCAGGGAGAACCGCGAGGAGGTCGACCTGGTACGCAACACGATATTGTACGCAATGGGATTCTCAGCCTCCATTACTAACAATCCCTTTCCCCCCGTTATGCTACATTTACTATGATCACATCAAACAGATATTACTATTGTGTACTATAATTATTTAATAATCTGTGTTCCTGCATTTTCCTTAGAGGCATAAGAGGTCGGAGTCTAAGACCCTTAGTTCGCTAAGAACCTCAATAGAGTTACGTCGTTGATCATCGAAATTATCCAGAATTCCACAGAGATTACTAAATATTTTATAAACGACGTGAACAAAATTTTGCTAAATCCAAGAAAATTTTGTTAAGAACAAGCGTAAAGTTTCCTAATGAGTTCTATGTTATTATTTGAATAACATGGAAATAAATGTTCATAAGAATTTTTTTGTTAGAAACTTAGTATTTAGGTTTTGTGTTATTCTTCAGTTATATATACATTATATCACTTTTAAAATATAAGTATTTTATATATTATATTCATGGTACTATTCTATATGTGTGCGATAGTGGAATGACCATCAGATATGATGGTTAGCTCTGAATATATAGAATAAGGAGCTCCCAACCAACAGCGGTAGTGTCAACAGGATGTAGTGGGAATCTTGGTGGGACAAGATTACCTATAAAAAGCTACAAGAATCTTATGACGATACTATGACATGGCGAATAAATGCCACCATTAAATAAGCATTCCTCTGATATGGGGCAGCAGCCATATCAGTACTGGTAGAAGGCCGAAGAAGAGACTTCTGGAAGGGCTTCTAGTCAGCGATTAGAGGGCGAAATATCGGTCTTTGAACTGCGGTGCAGAAAGCAAGATGGGAAACTACTGCACTATAATCCCATAAGTAGCAACTAATGGAATGATGGCCTGGGATAGAGCTGGCTGGAAGAAGATGCTTAATTAATGCACCGACAAGAGGAAACTCTTAAATAAAAAAAAAAACTATTCTATGTATATAGGCGATGGTTCCCACTTACCATCAGATAGGCTATTAGTATGTTTGTAGTTCTAAGTCGTATAAAAAGAATATAGTGTTGGATGTCAGTCAGATTGAAACTTACAAACTTTGAAGTCTGTCAGTGAGATTTGTTTATCACTAGGCCAATTACCTCTCTTCCAAATATATTTTGTTACAGGCTATTTCATGTTACTGAAGTTAGTGAAGAAAGGTGTTTGAGTAGCGACCCTGTACGGGCAAACGCAGTGTAGGGCGACCCCTCACTAGATGCAGTGGCGACCTCAAATACATTGCAGGGAGTTAGTGGATGAAGGACCATTTCTTATGACAATCTATGGGGGAGGCCTATGTTTAGCAGTAGACAGATAATGGCTGACTTCATATTCATTCATAAGTATCTAAGTAAGTATTTGTGTTGCAAAACTCTCTGTGTGTATTATCAAGTTTAAATGCAATACAACAAATATTTACTTAAAAAAAACATAGTGTCTGAAATTGTATATCGTTGTTTAAAATAATAGTTCATTTAATTAGTTACCAACAAAACAATTAATAAACATGTTCCATACATGTTTATTACAGCGCAGTTTACATTTGTGATTTTAAGACGTCAGAACAAAGTTAAATGTTAGATACATATATATGTAGATAGATAGATAGATAAAAACTCTTTATTGTTTCCTCTAAAAGATTATATTGGAAACTTTTTTTTTTTTTTTATTACACAGGGGGTAAATGAACATGCGGCTCACCTGATGGTAAGTGACTACCGCCGCCCATAACTTATTAAAAAAATACACAAAATTACAAGAAAAGATTACACTGAGACAACAATGGGCGGCCTTAACGCTATCTAAGAGCGATCTATTCCAGAAAATTTTTGGATGGAGAAGAAAATTATAAACAGTTTGACTGAAGGCACGAAAATGTTCGGTTTTTAAACGGTTTTATTAAACGGTTTTATTTAGCTCGACCTGTACGGTATTTATTTTTTTGGGTCAAAATTAGAAATTGGAATTTAAGTACCTTCCCGTTGTCAGATTGATCTGAAATTTGGTACACACATTTAATTTAGATGACAATACAATATAATAAAATCAATAACATTATAAATCTAAGATGGCCGCCGATACAAAATGGCGGATTACATATTTTTCCTTAACCCCCGCAATATGGGTATCAAATGAAAGGGCTACACTAGTAAAACACGATGATTATGTCAAAATTTAAAATTCAAGATGGACGCCGTTCCAATATGGCGGACTAGGTACATATTTTTCCACAACCACCACAATATGGGTATCAAATAATAGGACTACACTGAGACACCCAGACACTAGACACTCGGACACTAGACACTCAGACGATAGACCCTCAGATACTAGACACTCAGACACCCAGACCCTAGACACACAGACACTAGACACTCGGATACAAGACACTCAGACACTAGACACTCGGACACTAGACACTCAGACACTAGACACTCGACACTCGACACTCAGACACTAAACACCAGACACTAAACACTCAGCAACTCGACACTCAGACACTAGACACTAGACACTCGACACTAGACACTCGACACTCGACACTCGACACTCGACACTCGACACTCGACACTCGACACTCAGACACTAAACACTAGACACTAGACACTAGACACTCAGACACTCGACACTCAGACACTAGACACTCGACACTCAGATACTAAACACTAGACACTAGATACTCAGACACCCAGACACTAGACACTCAGACACTAGACACTCGGATACAAGACACTCAGACACTAGACTCTCAGACACTTGACACTCAGACACCCAGATACTAGACACTCTGATACTCGACACTAGACACTCGTCCCTAGACACTCGACACTCGACACTCGACACTCGACACTCGACACTCAGACACTAAACACTAGACACTAGACACTAGACACTCAGACACTCGACACTCAGACACTAGACACTCGACACTCGACACT